CACTTGCTCTCCTCTTGACTTCACTTGTACTGTGACATATATATCTACCTGCTCTTGCTTGTCTAGTTTTATATATATGTCTGTACTCCTGCATGTGAACTGGCCTCTGGCCCTGCTCTTGTGCTCGGACTGTGTGGTGACTTTGTGATCCACCCTGAGCTTGCTTTGCTTTGCTTGACTGGTCTTGTGACCCCTTGTTCTCCCCCACTTTGCCTATGGGGGTGTGTCAAACATTATATATGTTATGCTTGTGTAGGCTACAGTGGGTTAGCCTTTAGGGGGTACACAATTCTAGGGTTTCCTACTTGTACTCATTTCACTGCTAGTTCATTCATTCCTGTTCGCTGATTCTGACACCCGATACACGACCGCGAAATGCTCGCGATCGTGCACGCATTCAAAGTGTGGCGCTGCTACTTGACCGGCGCAGACGTGACAGTACGGACAGACCATCGATCTCTACAGTACCTCCGCGCACAGCCCCACCTCAACCCACGACAGATTCGATGGCTCGATTTCCTCGAGTCGAATTTTCACTATACGGTCACATACAAAAAAGGAGCCTCGAATATCGCCGACGCACTGACCCGCCCCACTGCCCAGATCCACGCGATACTACTCGCCCAGACCAGCTCGCTACTGACAGGCCTATTTACCCACGGATATCAAACAGACCCGTTCTTTACAGGAGGCAACTCACAGCAATTCGCAGCGGCAAAAGGAGTCTATTACGTAAAAGCTGGAACGGACCGCATCTGGGTACCAGGATACACGCTACTGCGGGAACTACTGTTACAGGAAGCACACGACGGAGTTACCTCGGGACATTTCAGGGTAGAAAAAACACGGCAGCAGCTGCAGCGGTACTACTACTGGCTAGAAATGTTGACTGATGTGCAACGACACGTGGCATCGTGCCCCACTTGCCAGCTCATGAAGTCAAGCAGGAAGCGGCCGGCGGGACAATTACAACCCATCCCGCCCCCAGAGCGTGCTTGGCAACAGGTGACGATGGATTTCGTCACGGGGTTACCAGCTGGGGCGAGTGGGAATGACGCGATCCTGGTCGTCGTCGATCGACTAACGAAGATGGCTCATTTCGCAGCATGCAGGAAATCAATCACAGCCGAGGAAACCGCCCGACTCTTCATCACCACCGTCGTTCTACTGCACGGGATACCCGCATCGATCATCAGCGACAGGGACACGAAATTTACAAGCAACTTCTGGCGGAACCTGTGGCAGCAGTTCGGCACGCGCTTACAGTTCAGTTCATCCTATCACCCCGAAACCGACGGACAGACGGAACGGACAAATCAGACCATGGAGCAGCTGATTCGAGCCACGTGCGACGATCCGAATACGTGGGAACAGCAGCTGCCACTCATCGAGTTCGCATACAATAACGCACCATCAGCCACGACGCAACAGTCGCTGTTTTACTTGAATTACGGACAGGACCCAACAGTACCCATGACACCGAATCCCGACAACCCCGTCCCACGAGCACAACAGTTCGCCGAGATTCTGCAAGCAGCACGGACCAGGGCAGCAGAAGCAATCAAAAAATCAAACATCATCGCTAAACGCAACGCCGATCGCCATCGCTGACCCGTTACTTATCAGCCCGACGACCTCGTTTTACTCGAGACTCAGAACCTCCGCCTACACATCACTCCAAAACTCCGCCCTCGATACTGTGGGCCATTTCGAATCAGTCACATGGTTACGCTAGTCACCGCGCACCTCCTCCTCCCTGCTGACTGGTACGTCAGCCCCTCGTTCCACGTCAGCTTACTTCGCCCTTACGTGCCTTCCACCAGCCAACTCCCACGACATCGACCCACCAGCATGACACGACCACCAACCGAACCAGTCATCACCCCCGACAAGATCCTGAGCCACAGAGTTCGCGACCCTCGAGGAGCCCGAAAAGTGGAGTTTCTGATCCGCTGGAAAGATCGTACCCCCACCGAGGACAATTGGGTTCCCCTGGAGAAAGTTGAAAATCACCCCGTCGTCACCGACTACCTGCGTAGCCGCAATTTCCGAGACATCCACGCGCTTTCATAAGGAGGACCTCCTTAGGAGGGGGGGTAGTGTAAGGAATTTCCCTTTTCCTTACTTCGCGTCCCTGCTCAACGCGTACATCACTGTAGCACCTCAGTCAGCACCGTTACCACTCGCGACCATCGCATCATTCATCATCCCGCCCTTTTCGCACATCGCATCCCGACCTCACGGCTCGGCTGGTAACCCGCGCTCCGGACCTACGTTTCGACACTTTCCCAACCTCAGTCCCAGGCTCGTCGCGCGACCATTACCGTTACCACTGTAGTTTCGCTATATAATGTTCGCTCATGCCTTCGCTCATTTGTATTCTTGCTTAGATAGTGCAATTCTCGTTCGTTCACTCAATTGCACTCGTAACAATATGCAATGTGTAATATTTTGTTGTTCGTGTGCTAGTACGTTCTGCGGATTGAGCAAAAGCGACATTCTGTTCGTTCATGAACAGATGACAGAGCAATCTCCGATCAGGTGGTGCCGCGATGCCAGTTGAGACCAGCCACAAATTGCTATCACCACAACAACAGAGGGATTGGCATGAAAGTGGTTGGTGTGGTCGCCACAATGACGTTGAAGGGACGGTGCCGATGACAAGCTAGACACTGGGCGGTGTGGATTCGCGTAATTGACCTGCCCCACCCTGACTTCCTGAGACAGCTGTCTACGTGGCACTTTCTGCATGGAATTGGACGCACCGCCCCTGCTGGGCTCATGGAGGCGGAAGAACCGTGGCTGAACGAAGTTCATGGCAGTGAGAATTGGGTTTTGAGTTGAGCACGCACTGTTACTGATCATATTTGCTCCCCACGCAGCTACAAGCGCACAGTTACTGCCCAGTTTGAGCTCACAACGCAGAATTAGCTCCTTTCAACGCAGTTTTGCTTTCATTGGTCGTAGGATTGACGGGCCGATAACTCTTCTTTGGTTGGCGGCCACAGAACCGTCAAACGAAAGCATTTCGGGCACAAAACAAATAAAACCCTATCGGGTAGCATGTTTTTCGAGGGAGACATCAACCCTAAACACCGGGAGACAAGGTGTTTAGGATTGATGCCCTTCCCAACGAGTATATTTTTTTCGATGGCTTGTCTCGATAGAGCATCAACCCTAAACACCATTAGGAAGGTGTTTAGGGTCGATACCTTTTTACAGGGGTATATATAATGTTTAGCACTAGAAACAGAAAAAAAGTAGTTACTGTTTTCTGTGACAGTTTCCACAGGTTCGGTTTGTAGTTATGTGCCATGTGTGGACCAATGAAATCAAAAATGTGTTGAAAGGAGCTAGATATGCGTTGTGAGCAAAAATAGAGCAGTAACAGTGCGCCAGAAGCGCTGTAGTTACGCTGGGAGCAAAGAAGTTCAGTAACAGTGCGTGCTCAACTCAAAACCCGTGAGAATTTCGCTCTGCGTTCGCCCCGTCCGGCTGGTTTGGAATCTGCGAGATGCGCGTGATGCGAAGCGCATATTCTCATCTTTTCGCGGAAGTACACATGCTTAGCGAAGACACACACACAGCCCCGCCACGCCACTAGGCAAGAACATGCACGCGAAATCGGGTGGAGCTGTGTATTGATCGAGAATCGACCTGCGAAACTCGAGGCTTGATCCAAGGGCTAAAAAAGAGCCACGATTTTCTTGCGACGTTGTTAACCATACCACTACCGCGTGGTTTGTATGCATCCGAACCACCTAGCCCCTGTTTTGACGGAACCCCAGCCTCGATCTCCGTCACTTGTTTTGATCACGGCCTTTAAACGAATCATCGTTTGCCACCTAATCTAATGTCGAGCGCTCACCCCAGGTTCCATCGTCCCGTCATCCACTTCCCACCTTCCTCCTCCCAGCCGCACAACGACCAGCACCCGCATCTATGGTTTCTCCCCGACATCCCCGACCGCTTTCCCTGCACCACCTCCGCAAACCGACCTGCTTTCCCCTTTCTGCTTCCGCCGCCCGAGGTCAGTGTGCGACTCTGCGCCCTCGCTCCCGCCCACCCCCCTCCCTCGCTGCGCCATCCGCCATACCTGAACCGCCAGCCACTAGTGTCGATTTGCCCGCGCCACTCCACTCCAATCCCTATTCTGCACTAGCTGCGCTGTCTACTAATTACCAATCCAGCTTCGAAAGTAGTATCTGCTTTGGTTGACGAGGCTTTGCAAGTCCGCTAATTGTTCCGCTTCTGGGAGACCGTTACGTTCAAGCTTCCTTGCGTCGCCAGTCAATCTCCTGGTTCACTCAACTCACACTGGTCAACGGTGACTCAGCCCGCTCACCTGTTTTGCAGCTGTTGGAGTGAGACTCTAGCCTCAAGTGCTTGTGCTGAGCCGATTCCAGTCACCAGGTGGAGCTGAACGCTCTGATCTGTTCAGTCACATTCCGATTCTGTGGCTGGTGCACTCGCTTCAGTCATAATCCTTCCCTTTTACTCGAGTAACCAGACATCGCTCGCGTGGCCGCGATTCTCGACGCTGTGAATAGCACTCCCTGTAATCCCCACGCGATCGCACTGGCCAGTCCCTCGGGGTCTGGTCCGTGCCAACACATTGGCCACCACGGCGTTTACGGCGGGTAACGCGGGAATCCGATACGCACACACGTTCCAGCTGGAGACCGCGGGAAAGCTGTGCCTGGGTGCCGTTTCCGCGCACGGTGGTAGGGGAGCTCTTCCGTCTGAGGGGGGAAGTCCCTCGGACCTCCTTTTCCTTGCAGGAGGAGGTAGCGTCACTCCCGTGTTCGTCGCAGACTGAACCGCGGCTGTAGTTAATAATTTTGCTCTAGTCGCTGTTTAGCCTGCTTAGGGTGCCCTGAGGTACAATTTAGAAAGGGAACCTGTTAAGAACCCGGATTTTCTGCGGGAAGAGAGGATCAGACGCTTTTTGAAGAGGCTTAAGTTTCTCGGAGAATCTCCGACGCTCTTTCTTCGTCACGATGTTGACGATTAAGAAGGTTCCGACAGTGGTCTCTCTGAACCAGGAGGAGGACCAGCCCGCGGGTTGCGGTCGCCGCTGTCTGAGTACCTGCTGCACTATTGGTACGTCCCACCTCCCGATCCCACCTCCCGATCCCACCTCCCGATCCCGCCTTTCGATCCCACCTTCAGACCCACGTCCAAACCACCCCCTGCTGTCTTTTGAGTATGGTTTGCTGGTTCAATCACACACTCGGTTTCCGGACCACTTTGGACCACGCGTGTGACTCCTATACTTTGAACTGAACTCATTCTCAATTCGCTAACCTTATAATGCCACTTCAACATTCTTGCATCCTTCCTTCTATATCGTCAACTTCAGGTGCCCGCATGCCTCTGTACGCTTACGCGAAGCGTCCCTGCACCAAGCCGGAGCGCATTCAGTCCTTTACGGAGCTGGACGGAGTTCCAGGCTTTCAGCCCGGGTTTCTCGGGAACACCACGAGCTTCGCGTCGTACGACGACCTGCTGTCGATCCGCGAGTCGCTGTCGTCGTCCGACGAGGACTCGCTGTCGTCAGGCGGCGCGAGCGACATCCACGACGACGACGCCTTCTCGCTGCGCAAGCACATCACCTCCGAGGTACGGCGCTCATCGTACTTGGTTGTCACTAATGCAAAGTTCAATTTCTTTGTTATTTTTAGTTAGCTGGTTGCTGGATGGGAATTTGGCGCACTATGCGAGTGTTCTTTTCTGACCTAACTCTGTTTTTCCGCCCCCCCTTCCCCTCTATCCCCGTCCCTGTTCTTCTGTTTTTCCACCCCTCGCCCCGTTCTTTCCCCTTCCCTTATATTCTGCCGTTTCCAGTGGGAGAAGAAGTTTCAGGAGGGGCTGTTCCGCTATGACGTGACAGCTTGCGAGTCAAAGGTACGTCTTATAAAGTAAGCAGATCAGATAATTTTATCTAAATATGCACACTATGGTGTGGTGGGAAACATGAAATGAAAGTGCAAGGGCCGTTTGTCAATAAGGGCTATTTATCACTCGCAGCACAGTATTGAAAATGCGGTAATTTCTCGTACATTGTGTAGGTTATCAAAGGTCGCCTGGGCTTCATCACGCAGCTGAACGAGGGGCGGCACTCCAAGAAGCGTCCCCCAGAGTTTCGCGTGGACAAGGTGCTGCAGGCGTTTGACGCTTCCCTAATTCCCCCTTCTCCCCTTTCCTGTCCCGTTTTGTGCATGTTGCAGGTGATCGAAGGTCGCCTGGGCTTCATTGCGCAGCTGAACGAGGGGAGGCACTCCAAGAAGCGTCCCACAGAGTTCCGCGTGGACAAGGTGCTGCAGGCATTTGACGCTGGCAAGTTCAATTTCACCAAGGTCGGGCAGAACGAGATGCTCTTCCGCTTTGAGGAAGGCAAGGACGAGGAGAGCCGCTTCTATGAGGCAGCTGTTGTGGAGGAGAGCCCCAGCCTCATGGTCATCAATGTAAGCTAAGCTTGCACTATAACCCATGCAAACTTCTTTTCAGGGTTTCTTCTCCCGGATTGTAAGGTTTGTTGAGTTCAGATCCATGGGTCCCGAGTAGGTAGCCTCTCAGTTGAAGTTATGGACTTTTTACCAGTGACTTGCTCCTTTGTGCACTCTCTTGCTTCCCCCATTGACTATGGCAATGTGCTTCTGGTTACACTTGTGCTTCACAAAACCCCCCAGCCTCCTCATATCTCGGTAGAGTTGATTATCCTAACCTTTGCTCACTCCATTTTGCTCTTTTCTCTTCTCCCACCCTCAGGTTTCTCCCATTGACTATGGCCACGTGCTGCTGGTTCCGCGTGTGCTCGACAAGATCTCGCAGCGCATGGACGAATCCAGCCTCCTCATGGCTCTCCGCCTTGCCTCGGAAGTCAACGACCCTGCCTTCAGGATTGGGTACAACAGCCTCGGCGCCTTTGCAACAATCAACCACCTGCACTTCCAGGCCTACTTTCTCGACCTACCCTTTGCTATCGAGCGCGCATCTTTGAAGGAGATCGCGGCTTCGACGAATGAGGTTAAGGTTGGGGAGCTTGTGGACTATCCTGTGAAAACGCTGGTGTTCCAGGCGGGTGCGTGCCTCGAGCAGATGGCATCGGCTGCTGCAGCTGCATGCTGCAAGCTCCAGGAAGGGAATATTCCCTTCAACTTGTTTATTGTGGACAGGGGCACTCGGCTGTTCCTCATTCCACAGGTACATTCCTCGATTTCTCCTCCTTGGTCTATGTGCTGTTTTCAATCATTGCCTCCTGTGCCTTGCTCCAACCTGAAATGGTGTCACTTTGTCAAGGTTTGGGCTTAGGTGTTTCTTTCAGATCTTTCACTGGTTGTTTAAACCTGACTTGATCCCTCTGTTGATTCTTCTTCTCCCTTCCCTATTGCAGAGGTATGCTGAGAGGCAGGCAAGGGGTGAGATTAGCCAAGAGCTTCTTGACACGCAAGTGAACCCTGCAGTGTTTGAAATTTCTGGTCATATTGTGTGCAAGCGCCGGGAGGATTACGACAATGCCTCTGAGGAATGGACCTGGAAGCTTCTGGAAGCAACGTCCCTCACTGAGGAGGGGTTTGAAGTCGTCAGGAAGATTTCTGTGGAAGCGCTGGCAGCGACTGCTGCTGAGTTTGCTGAGATTGGGATGGGTGGTGTGGTTGGGAAGGGAAAGGTGGAGTTAGTGAGTGAGGCTGGTGCTTGGGTTGATTTTGCGGCTAAGGGTGGTGTGGATCAGCAAGCTTTTCAGCTTGCATAGGCTGTGTTGCTTACTTTCATGTACAATGACATCCTGTTTACCTTATTTGTTTTGACCATTTATAACTTGACAGCTTGTGTGCACTTGTATTGTACCGATGCCCATGAACAAAGCGGGGGTCTCTCAGCTGGGAGATCATTAGCGGAGAAGCTTTTTTCGAAGTTACCTAAACTCCTGATTTGACGCGTCATCAGAACATTTCGAATATCCCTCCAATCACTTGGGCCACGTAGACTGAGCATTGCAAAATGACCAATCAACAACCGCCTGTCTACATGCTCCGTTTCTTCAGCAACGTAGAATTGATACTTCAGTACTTGGTTGGGACCGTGCCACTTTGCTTAGGAAATATTTTGAACCGTGAAGTACCGTTTTCAGCTCCAGGGGACATCAGAAATGTTCTCAACCCGAGATGCCCCAAACTCCAGATGAGATGTCTAGGCCAGGAATGCGATCTGAGCCTTCGAGGGAACCTGAAAAATGAGACTCAACCAGACACCTTTCAGCTGTTGGTAATTCCGTCCGTTGTCAGCCTGGATTTGTTGTGATAACTATCCTTCAGTTCAGCATTCATGTTCAAAATCCAGATCTTGCTCCATTACGAATGATAATGTACTAGGTGGTTCATGCCTCTGTGTGTGCGAGCTTTCTATTGTGCTTCCGTTCTCTCGGGTAGCAGGCACATCAATCCAGGTCTTGCTCTAGTTAACTCTGGATTCACCGGTTACTTTTCAAGGAGACTCAGTCAGCCTCATCGATTAAGTATCTCCGCATTGTTGGGTAGCAAGTTCTGTGCCAGAAGGACGCCTGCCGTACGTATCGTTTCGACCAGTGTCAGGCCCGTACAGTCCGTACGGTATAGAATGGCGGTGTGTCAGGACCCCGTACATATGCAAGTCGATGTCGATTTCCGTCCTGCTGACGTCATTGAGATCGCAGAAGCGGCGGGACGCGCTATCCTGGAAGTTTACAACAGCCACAAAGAGTGAGTGGGGAAGCAATAGTTGCTGGTCTACCGGATTTGCGGAACCACTGAATGGAAACGAGCGAGAAACAGCAGAGGCGCGAAGCAGAACTGGAAGGACAGGCGACAAGGCCGTGAACGGCGAGCTATTTAAATAACATTGTTGACGGGGAGCAGAAGTCGATAAGTAGAAGGAGATGTAGCGTTGCTGCATCCCTTCATTCTCGCCTTTCCCCCTCTTCCAGCAGACCAACTTGCGACCCTTCCCATGTTTCTCATCATCCTTCCACCCCCCCCCCCCCCCCGTGCTTCCCCTGATCGTTGTGATCCTCTGCTTGTGTGTACCAGCGACTGGGGAGTGAGCGTGAAGTCGGACCACTCTCCGCTGACTGACGCTGACTCGAAGGCCAACGCGTTAATATGCAGCGAGCTAGCGCGGATCACGCCGCATGTGCCGATCGTCAGTGAAGAGACGAAGCTGGTGCCGTACTCCGTGAGGAAGGAGTACCAGCTGTGGTGGTGTGTGGATCCGTTAGACGGCACGAAGGAGTTTATCAAACGGAATGGACAGGTGAGCGTGTAACGCGGATGGAGACGAATTTGGTGCCGTACTCCGTCAGGAAGGAGTACCAGCTGTGGTGGTGCGTGGATCCGTTAGACGGCACGAAGGAATTCATCAAGCGGAATGGACAGGTGAGCTAGTAACGCGGACAAAGACCGAGCTGGTGTTTTATCCTGTGAGGAAAGAGTACCCGCTGTGGTGGTGCGTCCGAGTCGTTAAATGGCACGAAAGGATTTATTACGAGTAAAGGGGATATGTTGATGGATTCAACATACGGATTCAGTTCAGGAGGCACATGTGGATTCAGACTGAACTGATTGAATGGTGATTGTTTGAGCAATGGGATGGTGTGCATTTCAGAACTAACATTCTTCGTCCCTATCACACCTCCTACATGTGCAACGTATTTAACCTTCTCTTTTCTTTTTTTGTTAAAACATGAAACCGGTGATTATTGCCCTAGTCACATAGAGCCACTCGATCAGAGAGCAATTCTCTCTGCATCAGCTGAAGTGTGCTCCAGCAGTGCTACACTTCCAGTATGAGTGAACAAGACCTTCCAGCAGACCCTTGGAATACCACTGATCTGTCTTCCAGGTCCTGAAATTCCAAGCCTCTGGTCACATTTCTAAATTCTCGTTCCCCATTTTCCCCTCCCTATCCCTTCCGTTTCCCCCTCCTTTTCCCATTTTCTCTCCCTCTTTCCCAATGTGCAACGCAGTTCACAGTGAACATTGCTCTGGTGAAAGGCGATCGTCCCATTCTAGGGGTGGTCCACACGCCCTGCCTTAAGAAGACGCACTGGGCCGTTGCTGGTAAAGGAGCTTTCCTGCGGGACCATTCTAGCCAATCAGATTCATCGTCTCTGCCCGAGGATAAGCCGATCCGGGCAGCTGAATATACAGATGCCGACCCGGGGCTGGTGATCATGGGGTCGCTGTCTCACAGCACACCCGAGACAGAGAAATTTATTGGGCAGTTTAAGGACCCGAAAGTGGAGGCTATGGGCAGCTCGTTGAAATTTATGAGGGTTGCAGAGGGGTCAGCTCATGTGTACCCAAGACTGGCTCCCACTTCAGAATGGGACACCTGTGCTTCTCAGGTACCACTCTCCCTTCTCCTCCCCACATCTTCTCAATTGATGCTTCCTGTATTTGTTTTTACTGTTTGTGAGGTTGGGAGCAGTGTCTTGCTATGAGTGTCTCTCCCTGAGTATCAGTTCAGTGATGTTTACCCTTCACCTTACCTATGATTTTTCCTCTATTCATTTTGACCACCTCAGATCATAGTGGAAGAGGCTGGAGGAAAGGTGTTGCAATGGCCTTCAAAGGAGCCTGTAGTGTACAGAAAGGAGAACATTCTGAACCCTCACTTCGTAGTTTTTGGTGCTCGAAAAGAGGCTCAGTAAGGATGTGGTTGTACGAAGGTCGGCGTTTTAAGGGTCTATCATGGATGGAAAGAGTGTTGATACCTTTGTTGCATCACTTTGAGTTCAAATATACTTGCGCATTCAAAATGCTTGGGGGAGTTTTCAACTCTACTAGCCTACCATCCTGCAGCTTCACACGAATCACTCAAGTAAGTATCGGTTTTGAAACTGGTTTATCTAGGGTATATCTTAACAGGGGTGTCTAAAATAGAATGTGTTGTTGTTGGAAACAGTGATTTAAGCGCATCTGTCGTGTCGAAACTGTCAGAATTATTTTCTTATACCTGCATGCAGGGGTTTTTTTTCGTTTTAGAGTATACTGGTTTCCAGAGGCGTTTTTCGCTTTACTCTGAAATCCAGAGTGTTTGGCGAGCCTTCCTCTTAAATGTCAGTGTAACACAGGCTGTCAGTTTAAAAACCCTGGCACCTCAGAGTAATTTTTATCGTTAAACCTGTTGTGTGTACGCGTTGGTTCTTGTGCTGTTACATAGTTAGAAATGTTGAACATATATAATTCCTAAACACGTTGTACACAATGTCCTATCCTATCCCACTACTACAGGCTCACTCATCCTCTGCCACGTCAGCCTCCTCCTCGTCGTCCGCACTGGCCTCAGGCTTGTTCTTGTCAGCCGCTGGTTGGAAGGGTGCAGGGGATTTTGTCGGCCGCCTCTTCTTGTGCTTGCGCCAGATGTCCACGACATCTGGCCACTCCACGTTGTAGTCGAGCATGTGGATGCTCATGAGTTCAGTGAGCCGCGTGTCGTTGAGAGTCGTGCGCTGCCAGCTCTTGATGATGTTCTTGCGTGAAAATCCACGCTCGCATTCGACGGTGCTGAGTGGCAGGACGGCCAACGCCTGCCACAGGGGTCATGATGTTGGGGTAAGTTCGCAGCCAATCGCGTGACCTCAGCATGTTCGTCAGCGCCTGGTAGAAGTCCTCGTCCTCGTGGTGCGTCCTCATGATGTGGCAGAAAGTTTTCAGTTCTAGTTCGGCTGCCCGCAGGTTGAACCCTGCCAACACAGTACGAACAGCACAGGGATTTAATTGTACGGGAACTTTCGGTATACAATTATATAAGGCATTTTTTCAAGAAAAGCAAACAAACGCGAACGAAATTAGATTTCCAAATACCTAGCAGCTGGTGGTTGAAGAGTTGTGAGTTCTCACGGAGCCATGTGGCACAACGTCTCGCACGCGTGTCCGGATTCGATGGCCACTTGTCCACCCTAAACAGCTTCATGCCGCCCATTCGACGAAGATCTCGCATGCGGTGCTTCAGGTTGTACACGACCTCACGGGCGAACGCCTTGCCCATCTTTACGCAATCTGCCAGGGTCCCGCCGAACTTGTGCTTTTTGTCCGGCAACTCGCTGAGCTCGAAGGTGTGCCTGACGTGTCTGCCGCTAGAGTCCACACCGTCCAGCTTCACCTTCTTGTCCCCTTTCTTGACACGTGCAATGAATGGAGACAAGCGGGTGCTCAGACCCGCCCCGAAACCACCCTCGTAGTCGATGTAGCGGTGCTCGATAAGGCACACCACACGGTCGACCTCCTCTGTGACTTGCGTCACCTCCACCTGCCGGACAGGCACGGGGTAAAAATTTGTTGGCGAGTAGGGGGTGGTGGGTGTGTGGTCTCCCCTGCTCCTCCTCCTCCTCTGTCTCCCACTGCTGCAGGGGGGTGGGTGTGTGGGAGTCGACGGGGATAAGGGGGAACGTGGGGGTTCGGGGGTACATGTATCCCCCGTACAGAGTAATCTCACTATCCGGGAAAGAAACACTGGCGCTCCAGAGTGAACTTAGACAAAAACCCTGCCTGATCAGAGAACAAGTACCTCTCAAAAAAATTACCCAGGAGGTACAGAGTGACCCCCCAAAAAATCACTCTGATTTTCAGAGAAACAGAGTAAATTACACTGATAAAAAAACCCCTGCCTGCATGTAGTTCTAGCTGTAGTGTAGATATGAACTTTATAGGTGGTGCACCTCTTTCTTCACTTGTTTGCTATATGTACCCTCTTGCTATAGTGAACACCATTCCCATTCTCGACTTTCTCTCTTGCCACAAATTACCTCGTCCCCCATGGCCTAGGCTGCTAAGCCTAGGCCCTAAACCTGACTACCACTTGTGCTAGTATCTCAACATGGCATTAGAGCCTGCTATATCCTGGCCTGTGGGCTTGCCTCAAGCTTCCGCTGCTGTTTTTCCGGTCGCGCGCCGCGAGCGCGTGGCGAATTTCCTTCTGTCCCATGCCCGGGTGGCGCGTGACGTTTTATCTGCTCGTCGCGGACCCACCCTTGGCGCCCGCGACAGTGCCCTGAGTCGCCGCAGACCCGCCCCTGGCGCCCGCGACGGTGCCCTGAGCCGCCGCGGACCCGCCCCTGGCGCCCGCAACGGTGCCCTGAGCCGCCGCGGACCCGCCCCTGGCGCCCGCGATGGTGCCCTAAGCCGCCGCAGACCCGCCCCTGGCACCCGCGACGGTGCCCTGAGCCGCTGCGGACCCGCCCCTGGCGCCCGCGATGGTCAGGGCTCTCGCTAGGTTTTGGGGCTGTTTGACAGGACCCTGAAATTTTTTTCCCCCGTCTTACGCTCGAACGACGAAATTTGCATGGTCTGCATTATAAGCTGGAATAGTTTTTCTAGTCTGATAAATAAGACGGAAAAAAATTCTTGTTAAAAGTCAACCTATTGTAATCCTACCAGCATGTCTACACATAGTACCTAACAACCTAGCTGCAGTAGCAAAGGACTTAGTCAGAGTCACTAGAGCCGTACACTTCATTGCTATCAGTATCATCCTCGCTAACCACTGACTCTGGGACAGTGGCCCTTTCTTTCCTACTAAGCCACGGGTACTCAGCATCCGTCCTTGCTGCTTCTGCTGCTAGGGCCGCTTTGTCAGAGGTCCACTGGTGATCCCCGATTGATCCTAGGGAAGGGTTACAGGCACGGTTGCCTGGGGGGTTATGGGCGCATTGACCCGCTACTTAAACAAGCCCTTTTATCCCAATGGTCTAGTGGTTGGGATTCTGACATGGTATCAGAGCGAAGGTCTCGGGTTCGAATCCCGGTGTATGCACTTCGGGCATCCCAGTGCGGGGGGGTGTCAGAGGTCCACTGGTGATCCCCGATTGATTCTAGGGAAGGGTTACAGGCACGGTTGCCTGGGGGGTTATGGGCGCATTGACCCGCTACTTAAACAAGCCCTTTTATCCCAATGGTCTAGTGGTTGGGATTCTGACACGCTTCTCGAGCAGCCGCTTCCGCTGCTGCCAGTGCTGCTGCTACTGCTGCAGCTGCGGCCGATCTTTTCTTCGCACGCTTGCTCGGTCTCTCCCCGGACGCCATCAGCACATCATTCGCAGGCCTGCGCTTCTTGGAAGCATTCCACCTCCTCAGTAACTCGGGCCACTCCATGTCGTAGTTAAGGAGCAAGACGGCTATCAGCTCTCCTAGCTTCACGTCGCACAGGTTCCCGCGAAGCCAGCTTACACTTGACGGTACTGAGCGGAAGCACGGCGACGGCCATCCACAGGTGGACGAGGTTTGGGTAGCATGTCGCCCAGCCGGGGGAGGACAGCATGAGCTTCAGGCCGTCCGCAAACCCAACATCCTCTTGGTGTGAGGCCATGATTGTAGAAAAGGTGAAGATCTCCCTCTGCGCTCTTGCCCAGTTGATGCCTGCGGTTGGGGTGCGCATAAGGACAGTGAGACAGGAGATCATAAAGGGTTGAAACATGCAGCTGAAAGAGAATTCTGAAGACTATAGCAGCACATTCCCGGCATTTGACGCACCTGGTAGAGTATCAGGGTCTTCTGGCTTCTTCTTGAACATGTTGCGCAGAGACTGGAGCCATTGGCCTAGCCTTCACTCATGCTTTGCCTGGTTCTTGGGATACGATCACTTCTTGAACAGCTTCGCCCCGTCGAGGTGTGAGATCCTTGAGGCGGTAGTCGAGCCGACCAACCAAGGTCGTGATGAACTCGCGCGCCAGCCCCAAACACGCTTGGTGGTCCACACCACTTTTCTGCCCCTTGATTTTCTCCTCGTGCAGTCGGTATCGATGGCTGACCGATGTGCCGTCGGAAGCTGTGCCAGCAACGAGGACCTCACGGAACTCCCCTGATGCGTGCTTGTTGAGGAACGGGCCCAACGCGTCTCCACCCTGGCCAAAATTCGCGTCGTCGCAGTCGTAGTAATGTGTGCGCAGCAGTAAGGTGGTGTTGTGCACCATCGGCAGCACATGGGTTGCGTCGACCTGTAAACGGGGTTGCAACAGCAGGATGTTATTAAAAGTATAGTAAAACAACAAACAGTAAGTCAAGTGCTCACCTGGCGCCGCTGAAACTTCAAGCTGAGAAGGTTGAGCTCCTTCAGGACATCAGCAAGGAAGAACAGCAGGAAATGGAATTTGTAGCTCGTTACGACTTGATGCATCTTCTTGTTTGTCTCGTGCAAGACCATCACTGCTGCAAGAAACACCTTCACCAGGCGCTGGATGGCGTCACCACGAGACAACCATCGGACGTCCTTGATGCCTTAGACTTCGAGGTGGGTCTCGCAAATGACCTCCTGAAGCTCTTGAAAGCGGGCGTGATTAACAGAAGAGCGACCAAGGTTCTCTGCTACGGCACGGACCACCTTGTCCACGATGTTGAAGTCCGGATACGCGGTGGTAGCATCCTTGGCCGCCAAGGCCTCCCTGCAA